AGACAAATACCATATTTTCTCTCTTAAAAGTATCCTAGCTTCTAATTTATATATTTGTGTATTTGTATGGGAATAAGTGTGAGTGTATGTAATAATGCTAGAAAGGAGACCATGTAAAGAGAGAAGTTTTAAGCAAGGTAGTGAAAACAGCAATAAAAAAAAACTACGATAAGAAACTAGAAAGGAGATTGCTGAGGATGTAAGGGACTAGCAAAGATAGGTGGAAAGATAGAAGAGGATTAACCAAAGGAAATGTGTGAACAGTGAAGTGATGAAACCTAATACTTAGTATTTTAAATTAAAATGCATAAATTTCAGCTAATTTAACAAAAGAGTTGAGTGAATTAATTTAAGATAAATTCTTCATTCTCTAGAGTTACTATAGACTAGATTATTTTAGCATTTGGAATTAAATCCAGTGAATGTCAAAGATAAGAATTATTTGATAATACATTCATCTATACTCTTGACTTCAGACAGTGTGGCTCCTTTTGGTATACATTGTTCATTTAAAAGTGAAATAGGGCAGGGGGTTAATGGATCAACAGTTAAGAGCGGGTACTGCTTCTGCAGGAAACATGAGTTGGTTCCAAGAACCTTTTTTGGGTGGCTCACAACTTTCTGTAACTCCACCTCCAGGAGGTCCAACACATTTTTCTGAATTCTGCAGGTACACTCACGGGCACACTTTTATACACATAACTAAGATAGTAAATCTTAGTAACTCTTTTGTGGGCTGGGAGATGGCACGGTGAATAAAGCACTTGCCCTTAATGTGTTCACACTGATTTTCACAACTCAGCCATGTTTGTAGCACCTTTATTCGTAATAGCAGGAACAGGGAAATAACTCAGATGCCCCTCCACTGAGGCATGGATGTAGAAATTGTGGTACATTTATACAATGGAATACTACTCAACAATTAAAAACAAGGAAATCGTGAAATTTGCAGGCAAATGGTGGGAACTAGAAAAGATCATCCTGAGTGAGGTATCCCAGAAGCAGAAAGACAGACATGGTATATACTCACTTATAAGTGGATATTAGACATATAATATAGGATAAACATACTAAAATCTTTACACCTAAAGAAGCTAAGCATTTGGAGGACCTTGGGTAAGATGATCAATCCTCACCCAGAAAGGCAGACAGGACGGAAATCGGAAGAGGGAGAAAACAGGGAACAGGACAGGAACTTACCACAGAAGGCCTTTGAAAGACTCTACCCAGCAGTGTATCCAAGCAGATATTGAAACTCATAACCAAACCTTGGGCAGAGTGTAAGGAATCTTATGAAAGAAGGGGGAGATAGAAAGACCTGGAGGGGACAATAGCTCCACAAGGAGACCAACAAAACCAAAAACTCTGGTCCCAGGGATCTTTTCTGAGACTGATACTCCAACCAATGACCATTCATGGAGATAACCTAGAACCCCTGCTCAGATGTACCCCTGGGCAGCTCAGTGTCCAAGTGGGTACCCTAGTAAGGAGAACAAGGACTATCTCTGACATGAACTCAGTGGCTGCCTCTTTGATAACCTCCCACTGAGAAGGGGAGCAACCTTGCCAGGCCACAGAGGAAGACAATGCAGCCAGTCCTGATGAGACCTGATAGACTAGAATCAGATGGTAGGAGAAAAGGACCTCCCCTATCAGTAGACCTGGGGAGGGGAATGGGAGGAGATGAGGGAGGGAAGGTGGGGTTGGGAGGGAATAAGGGAGGGGGCTACTACAGCTGGGATACAAAGTGAATAAACTTTAATTAATATAAAAAATTAAAATTAAGAAAAGTAAAAGTATTAAACATAAAAAACAGCTGGGCAGGCATGGTGATGACCTGCAGTCACAGCACTTGACCAGCAAGAACAGGATCAACAGGACAAGCTGGCATGCTAGACTAACTGCAGTCACCAAGCTTCTTGATTCAGCAAGAGACCCTAACTCAGTAAAATGGGAGCGAAAAGAAGGAGGACACACAACGCCAACCTCTGGCCTCCGCAGTTTCATGCAAGCCACACACACACGCACATACACAAAAATATAAATAATAGTGAATACTAAAATGTGTGGGTTTCGTGTATAAACCCTCAGAAAACCTATCACAAATTTTAATATTTTGTGCAATATCAACTTCATATGTACTATGAAGTTTATTTTTATCCTCACTGTTATATAAAAAACAATGTAAATAATAAATTCTGGCAGTGAATAATGATAGTCCTGGTTGCGATAGCAAACTTGGTAAAGTAGCAGGTATTCTAGCAGGAAAAAAAGAAGTGACCTTACTCATCTTCAACTTCTAAATTCTCGTCATCAGGTGCCAGAATTCTTACTGTGACAAGCTGAACATCAAATGGGAGTCCTTAGTATATGTAAAAATATTTTTTAGGATTAATTCTAGCTTCTTAGGTCCTCAGATTTAAATTCTTCTTGATATTGTAGGGCCTTTAAAGCACAACCCAAAATTCCAAGGGTATTGCAGTTTTTTCTATGATACTGGTTTGCTGCTTTGTTGATACTTTTTTTTATTAGTTACATTTTACTAACTCTGTATCCCAGCTGTATCCCGCTTCCTCATCCCCTCCCAAGCCCTCCCTCCCTTCCTCATCTACTCCCTGCCCCTTTCCAAGTCCACTGATTGGGGAGGACCTCCTCACCTTTCATCTGACCCTGTTATATCAGGTATCTTCAGGACTGGCTACAAAATCCTCCTCTGTGGCCTAGCAGGGCTGCTCCTCTCTTGGAGGGTGGGAAGGTCAAAGAGCCTGCCATTGAGTTCCTGTCAGATATAGTTCCTGTTCCCCTTACTATTGGTTTCCTATAGTAAGTACAGGCTTCATCCGAGCAAAGGTTCTAGGTTATATCCATACATGGTCCTTGGTTGGAGAAACAGTCTCATAAAGGAACCCTGTGCCCAGATATATTTGGTCCTTTTGGAGCTCCTATCCTTTCCATACAAACTCCCCCTTCTTTCATGTGATTCCCTGTACTCTGCCGAAGGTTTGGTTATGAGTCTTAGTATCTGCTTGATACACTGCTAGGTAGAGTCTTTCAGGGCCCCTCCTGTTGCTTGTTTTCTCCTATGTCCAATGCACCTCCCATTTGTCTTTCTAAGTGAAGACTGATCATCTTACCCCGGGTCCTCTTTCTTGTTTATCTTCTTTAGATGTATAGATTTCATTATGTTTATCATATCTTATAGGACTATATGAGTGAGTATATACCATATGTGTCTTTCTCCTTCTGAGATACCTCACTCAGAATGATCTTTTCTAGATCCCACCATTTGCCTGCAAATTTCATGATTTCCTCGTTTTTGATTGCTGAGTAGTATTCCATTGTGTAAAAATACCACAATTTCTGTATCCATTCCTCCATTGAGGGACATCTGGGTTGTTTTTGGATTCTGGCTATTACAAATAAAGCTACTACAAACATGGTTGAGCAAATGTCCTTGTTGTGTACTTGAGCAAATTTTGGTATATATGACTAGGAGTGGTATAGCTGGATCTTGAGGAAGCACTATTGCTAATTGTCTGAGAAAGCGCAAGATTGACTTCCAAAGTGGTTGTACCAGTTCACATTCCTGCCAGCAATGGAGGAGGGTTCCCCTTTCTCCACAACCTCTCCAGCTTGTGTTGTCACTTGAGTTATTCATCGATACTTTTTAAATACCTTACTTATATCTGATACTCTGTAATCTTCACCAGCTGGCCCCAAGAGTCAAAGCCCATACCTCTCCTGAAACCACCACTCCAAAAAATGCAGTAGAGTCTGTGTCACATTAAACATATTCAGTCCCCAATGCATCCTTACAAAGATCATCTCTAAGTGATGGTCTTTCCTGGATGGCCTCAACATTAGCTTGGAAAAGACACTGTGAACCTGAATTTCAAGCTCTTAGCATTGGTCCCACCTGGGACCAAATTATTTCCTTGTTATATTATCCGGTGCATTGTAAAAGGGCTAAAAGTGTTTATGCTTCCCCACAATTATGGCAGTCAAGCATATCTTCTGACAGAACCAGATGTTCCTTAATGAGGCAGAATCACTTAATATGGTTAAAAAAGTGTTCTCCTATATTATTCTTTGTTCTGTTTGCTAAGAATTTTTATTATAAAAAGTCAATTTTAAATGTATTTTCTATATCTAGTGAGATGGTCATTTTTTCCTCCTTTAACCAATTAATCACAGTAAAATACACTGTTATTTTCTAGCTTTGATCTGTTCTGTGCTGTAATTTATTCGCATGCCAAATCTGAATTGTGCAAAACTATGATTCTTTTTCTTGATTTTGGGCCTGTGAACATTAAAACGAAGTAATGGTATACAACACCCCAAATTAGAAATTAAATTGTAATCACTATTATTAGTTTATTTTACCTATATTGAACTATAAATTACTTTTTTGTTAATTATTTGGTCTTAAGTAATCTATTTGAAAGCTTACTCAGTCACTTTTAATAAATAATACTTTAATTTTTTTTCAGACACAGACCTATCATAATTTTTTATTAACTCATTTAAATCTAAAATTACTAAAACAACATAATTTGTACATCAAAAAATAATTATATTTTACTTTAATTAAATATATAATAATGGAATAGAATGTTGGTTCTAAGCAGTGGGAAAATCAACATACGATTATTCTTTTGATGGTAACCACTATTGTAAACATGACCTATTTCTGCTTTCTGCAGTAGAAGGCACTTGTTTGAGTGCCGTTTTTTTCTCATAGACCTATATTTTCATAATTTTTGAAGGTGGTAAGTTTCAAGAGTTAAAGAAATTTCACTGGTGTTGGTTTTAGTGTTACTGTTGAAATGAAGCCACATAGGAAAACTAATGACTTTAATAAGTAGGTTTCAATAAAGTTAGTAATAATACCAACAAAAGGAAGAAAAACAATATTTTAATAAGTAACCAAAAGTTAACTTTGCTTAGGTAATAATTCAAGATAAAAATTTTATTAAGACAAATTTTGTTTCTTCCCACAGTCACGTTCCATATCTAGTTCTCCTGTGATGGTAGCTCAGCCGGTTTACCAACAGCCTGCATATCACTACCAGGTGGGCATTGAGTTCATTAGAACCTCTGGACTGAGGGACCTGGGGAGATGGCCCAGTGGGAAGACTCCTACTGCTCAAAGACCTAAGCATGTGGCCGTAACCCCATTGTTGCAGGGACAAAGACAGCCAGGTCCTTGAGCTCACTTGCTGGCCAGTCTGCCTCAAAAAACTGAGAACAACAACAGAAAGATACTTACCACAAGTCAACCTGTAGCCTCCACATGTGTGCACACATATACAACGCACACAATCTTTGCTAAGAAAGTAGCTCAATGGTAGAGTGCTTGCTTGTTAATATGTAAGAAAAACAAGGCTTATAGTTTTTTAAGAAGTCCAAATATTTTTATGTCATTTTCAGGTAAATTTCGTTTTTTTATATGCAAAGATTAATTCAGAAAAGGCAGTTAAGTTTTTAAAGAGAATGAATTTATTTACTTCCTTTCAGCAAACATAATAAATTCAATTCTTTCCTGTTTAAAATTTATTCTAAGACTTCTTTGATTGGCTGGGATGTAGCTCAATGGTAGAATGCTCTCATAGCATCTGTAGTGCTCTGAGTTCCATTCCCAGCACCACAAAAAATCTTTAACCGTAATTCACAAAGTCAGCTATAGACACTAGGCTTTCTGTGTTACTTTTAATTTGTGGTTATTACATTTAATACAGTATATATTAAAATAAGCAATATAGTGTGATATAATAACTATTCTGGTAGCCTCCTTTAGTTAATCAAGGGAAATTGGAAATAATAGAACTATGATGTATTGTGAGACCATTTTTTAAATTTTTTTCAAGTTTTTCAACCTGTGATCTATAATATTGGTATATAAAGTCACATTTTCTTACTTCTGGAGTAGTAGAAAAACTGTTACTATTTTTTCTTTTTGAACTTTTAAAAGTACACCCATATGAAATGTGGAAGGTTTATGGTAAAATTAAGCGATAGCATTCTTTCTTAGTGTATGTTAGGCCCTGAATTTTATTGCTAGTAGTGTGAAAAGAAGATGAGAAAGAGGGGTGAGGCATGGAAAAAGGTCAACAAAAGGAAAGGGAAGATAAAAGGCAGAGGATGTTACTCATTTGGTAGAGTGATTGCCTAGTACTCATGAAGCCCTGCTTCTATCCTCAACACCACTGCGTTGGACCCACACATGTAATCACTGCACTTAGGAGATGGAGACAGGTGGCTCAGAAGTTCAAGCATCTTCTTGGCTATATAGACAGTGGAGGCCAGTCTGAGCTATATGATATCCTGTCTCCCAAAAGAAAAAGAAATAGTTGTAATTCATTGTATATAATCCTTTCCTATTAGATTTTCAATTATATTATTCTATGTCTAAGAGTGTTTTGCATGAATTTATGTGTACCACATGTGTTCATCCGTGCCCTTAGAGGCCAAAAAGGGAAATCAGATCCCCTGGACCTGGACAGTTACCGACAGTTGTGAGCCACTATGTGGGTCCTGGAAATGAAACGTCTGAAAGAGCAGAAAGTGCTCGTAACCACCAAACTATCTCTCCTTTCCCCTACTGTTAGACTTACTTTTAATTATATTTTAATTAATCTTACTTCTAATCTTACTTCTAATTAATCTATGCTAATAAACTAAGATATTTTGTCCACTAACAAAAAATGAAAGCAAATTAATGGCATTTATTTAAAATATATTTATAGAATGACTTTTTCTGAACCACCATGGACTTTCAGCTGAGACGCTAAAGACAGATCATTAGGCCACCAATCATTTAAAATAACTGGCCAAATATTGTGAAACAACTTCTGAAACTCTTAGTTTGCTACCCATCTGTATCACATGTAAAAGGAATCTAAGATTATGGGAGAATAGTATCAAAGATTTGTTAGGATTGTGGCATTTCCATGTCTCTTCAACCAAGGACCTCAGAGAATGACTACAGGAATTTAGAATCTATCTTCTGAGTCCTTGGGGATGTTGGTACTTTGGGCCTTGATCTCCTAAGAAACATCAAAAGACCGTGTTGATGGAGCCCGGGAAGAATTTTGTAGTGGGAACCTATTGGAACAAAGGCTCATGTTTCCTCAAAGCAAGTTGTGAACTTGAAAGAAGAAACTCTTCCCAAAAAAACTTACGGATGACCAGTTAAGAATTTGTGCAAAGAGAATGTGACCTATAGTCAGAAGTTCCTAACAATATCATCAAAAAACATAGTAAAGTTTCATGCCATACAGCTGGTATTTGGAATCAGCCAAACTCCAAAACAGTAATCTGCCCTCAGTGAAATCCAAGGACAAGAAAAAAAACAACATAGTACTGTTAAAGTACTAAAAGTGAGAAAGAATAAAGTTGGGGTTTGCTTATATCTGAGTCCAGCTCCTTAATTAATTAATTATTGATATGGCTCACCTGACATTTCAATAATTTTATAAACTTTACTATAATATAATTTTATACTTTTTCGTCTGACTTTATGTTTGACACTAATTATAAAATTAAAGGTGAAGATTGATGGTTTTGTCAGTTTCTGTTCTTCAAAGCAGATAATACATGATTTAATTAGTAGGTACATGAGGTAAGTGCTTGTTTACTGAGCCACTTTCCTAGAACAGGTGTGAGAAACTTCACCTCAGTCCTGCCACAGACTAATCATACATGAACATTCTAAGTATCTCAACTGAAAGGATACAGAAAATTAAAACCTCCAGCCAATGACTTGGCCACATATTCACAAATCCCAATAAAGGCGCATAAGACATCCAACGAGGCATGGCAAAATGGCTCCTCCAAAAGTTGAACACTCCACAGTAATGGATTCTAATGATAGTCAAATGAATGGCATCTTAAATAATGAATTCAAAGGAAAGATTGTAAGACTGTAAGACTGATAGTGAAACCAGAAGCAGTGGTGCACACCTGTAATCCCAGCACGTGCAGATCTTTGTGAGTTCCAGGCCAGCCTGCTCTACAAAGTGAGTCCAGGACAGCCAGTGCTATACAGAGAAACCCTGTCTCAAAAAAACAAAAAAGACTGATCAGTGAGGAGCTAGAGTGATGTCTTTGCAGTTAAAAGCACAAATGATCTTGGGTTCAGTTCCCGTTACCCACTTTGGGTAGCTCAACCCTACCTGTAACTCCAGTTCCAGGAAAGTCAGTGCTTCCTTCTGGCCTCCACAGGCAGTTCACACATGTGTACATAGAAGCAAGTAGGCACACATACACATTTTTATTAATGATCAGTGAAATCAAAGACATAAACACTGAGTGAATTCAAAGATTAGAAATGATGAATGAAATAAAGATACCAATGAAGACTATGAAAGAAGAATTAAATGAAACAAAGAAGGAAAATCAATTAAAATTTCAAAAATGAAAAGCTCAATAATTCAAATGAAAGCTTACTTGAACCCTCATAGCAGGTTGGATCTAGTGAAACATAATATCAGAACTTGAAGACAATATAGACAAAGAAATTTAAAAGTATAAACAGAACATACAGGACCTCTGTATACAGCACCAGTGAATGACCAAATTACAAACCATAGCAATAAAAAAGAAGGGCAACTGCTATTTTTAATAAAATTATTGTTATTAATTCTTTGAAATTTTTATGCATTGTATTTTAATCATATTCACCTCACTCCTTATCTCTTCTCATATACATACCCCAACCCATTTACCCCTACCACCTCCTTAATTTGTGTTCTCTCTCTTCCACCTTCCCTCCGCCCTTAACCCACTGAGTCATATTTGTGCTGTTTATTTACCCATGGATGTGGAACCATCCACTGGCATGTGGATGATCTACTAGGAGCCATACACTTGACGATAAAAAGGCTCTCTGTCCCCCAGAAGCCATAGACTCTCAAAAGCTCCTCTCCTGAGCTCCTCTCAACTCCATGCTGCAATTTTGACTGGCTTACTCTTGTGACAACCACAGCTGCTGTGAATTCATGAGTGCCAGTGGTCCTGTCACATCCAGGAGACCGTTTTGCCCCAATCATCCCAACCTCTGGCTCTTAGAAGCTTCTCACATCCTTCTTCTGTGATATTCTCTGAGCCTTGGAAGGGGATAGATACAGATGTCCCATTTGTGCGTGAGCATGCTACTGAGACTCATTCTCTGCACTTGAATCAGTTGTGAGTTTCTCTGTTAACCACTGCCCAGTGCCAAAAAAAAAAATCTCAGAGCTGAACTAATCTGTATGTAGAAAGAAATTGGAAGGCAGTTTGATATGATGTTCACTTAGCAGAATAATAATAGGTTCACTCTGGGGTCTTGTGAGCTCCTCAGCCATTTACTGTACCTCCAGATATACAGAAAGTGGGTGTATGGATTAGTGTTAGCTGTCAACATGACACAACCTAGAATAACCTAGAAAGAGCCTTGGTGGAAAATTGTCCAAGTCAGAATGGCCTATAGGTATTTCTGCAGAGAAATGTTCTGGTTGTTACTTGATGTGGGAAGACCCATACCGTTGTGGGGCAGCACTACTCTGTGGGTAAGGGGTCCTGAACAGTTGAAAGAGGAGATGCCTAGCTGAACAAGTGAATGAATGAAAACCTAGCCACTAGGGTAAAGGGTAACAGCTGAACTGTCATTTATACCTGCTGCAGGAAGAAAAATCAGTTCTTTCCGATAGAGGAACACTAGATATATCAGCCACATGGACAGGAGTAGTTGACCAACTTAAAATGGACTCCAAAGATTTTTTTATGTGGATAAGGAAAGAGAGAGTATCTGGAAGGACTTGGAAGGGGAAGAATATGATCAAAATGTATTTAAATTTAATATTTGTTTTAAATAATAAAATTTCAAAAATATTAGTAAGGTCAAATATAACACAAAAGGCTACAGAGATGGCCCAGTGGTTAAGAGCACTGGCTGCTTTTCCAGGGGACCAGAGTTCAGTTCCCAGCACCCACATGGTAGCTCATAACTCTCTAAAGTTGAGTCCCAGAGGATCCAAAGCCATCTTCTTCTGGCTTCTGTGGGCACTACACACCCATCATATGTGGTGCACAGATATACATGCAGACAAAACATCCATACGTAAATAAAGAAATACATTCTTAGAGTGGGATACACTGTGCCACCTACCTCTCTATGACCCACACTTATTCTCCATGACCCATCCTGCATCTTAATCATGGGATACTCCTGGTTTAATACTGCTGGCATGTCCATTTCCTTTTGTAATTCTTGTCATTCCAATACTTTATTGTCCATGATATTCACAGAGACCATAGCCAACAATAACCAAGTATCCCTAATAACTTGTATGAGCCAATCCATTGGTAGTTTTATGTCACATAGTGCTTCAAATTATGTGACCTTTGTTTTAAGAAACATGAGTAGGTAATGTTGCTCAGTTGTCTCTGCTTCCACAGCACTCAGATGATTGATTCCGTACACCCCCTGTCCCACAACCTCACAAGCTAAGGTAAGAATCTCAGATTATTCCCAGGAGTTCCAAGTTTTGGATCCCAGGACGAACTCTTTAACAGAGTTTGTGTTCTTGTTTTATTTGCCTGTCTGTCTCTCTGTCTCTATCTCTCTCAAGAAATAGCAAGCCAAAACCTCAATCTCATCTTCTATTTTTTACATTTTTCCTGCCAAAGCAGAGGCTGGTGCAGAAAAAGCCATTCACATGTTTCTTCACAGTCATAATTCTCCCTCTGTTAGGCAAATTCTTATCATCCACCACAAGGAAGCTACCTCTGCCTTCTTGTGATTCCATTCTATACATGTTACACTTGGGAGCTGAAATATATTCACTACCTCATTAGACATTTTGGGAGTATTCATGTCCTTGTAGCAGACCCCATTAATCAAGGTGGCATGCCACCTCATACCACATGGAGGAAGGTGGGTACCCTGAGATTATCCTTAAGAATGACCTACTTTTTGAGTCAGAGACCTTGGAACAATCAGCCCTAAATGAAAGTGTAAGAGCCAGAGGGCTTGGAGGTCACCAAGAGAACAAGGCCCTCTAAATTAACATTAGCAAAGCTCATATGAACTCAAGAGACTGAAGTAGCATGCACAGGGCCTGCATGGGTCTATAAGCCTCCACCTTTATGTTACAACTTTCAGTTTAGTGTTTTTATGGGACTCCTGTTTGTGAAAAAGTGGGCCTCTGACTCTTCTGCCTTCTCTTGGGCTCTTTTCCTTTGCACAGGGCTTTGTCCTGTGCAACTTCAATGTGATACTTTTTGTTTTATATTATTCTATTTTATTTTGTTATATTTTTTAAATGAACAAAAGAATGCCTAGTCACTAGGATAAAGGTTAACAACTGAACTTTCACTTCTATCTGCTGGGAGAAGGGATATCAGTTTTCTCCAGTTGAGTGGCACTAGGTGTATCAAACACTTAACGGTATATCAAGCCTTGTGTTCAAGAGTAGTTGACCAACATTTCATGGACTCTGCAACTTTTTTTTTTGGCAGGGGAGAGGTGGTACTTTTTTTTGTTTCAGTTTGGAAGAGTTGTTACATTGGTTTTGCTATTATTTTTTTGAGAAAACTTTAAGTTGCCCATGTCAGGAGTGAGAGAAGATCTGGAAGGACCTAGGGAAGAGGAATATGCTTAAAACATATTTAAATGTAAAAATTGTTTTAAATAATAAAAATATTTTTAAAACGAATGACCTACTCTTAGCTAAATCTTATTGCCAACAGCAGGGACTATTGGTGCCACTACAGCCAGGAGGCATACCATCCCGTCCCACATGAGGAAAGACAGCCATGTTGGGGTTGCCCCTGCAGATGCTCCTCCCTCAGATCAGTTGCATGTGTCACCCATTACAACGGCATGTAATTGCTCCTGTCCAACTCATCTCTATTTCTGTCAGGTCCCTATTCAGGTGCCAATCATGTGTGACTTTTCTTGTGAAGAAGTGGACAAACACCTGTTAACCCCAGGTAGGGTACTTAAAATAGACCAAAAGAAACCTTTCTACCCAAGTCTGGCTTGGTGAGCCCATGAGTTTAATGGAGTTACTTATATAAGCATGGATAAAGATTACTATCAAGGGCATGCATGACTCAAAGGCAACTGCATCACTAAAAGTTTCACCCCAAGATGAAAGATAACACAAAAGCTTCATTATTGAAATTCCCTAAACAATTTGCAGGTAGCACCATTTAAAAGAGTCCTCTTCTGCAGCAATTTTTAATGCTTTTTGATCTTCCTTGGGAGACTCCAGGGTAATAAATTTCTGAGCTCCTGATTCAGTGAGTTTTGTGAGCTTCCTGAATTTTGTAAGTTTTGTTAATATGCTAAGTCATGTGAATCTTCCTTCTCCCTCTAGGAGGCAGTGTTTGAATTCAGAGGAAATAACTGCATAACATTCATGAATCAACAGAATTAATACTGCTGAAATAGCTATTACCAAACAGGATTTACAGACTCAACGTGATTTCTAGTGACATTCTTCACAAATACAGAAAAGGAAACACTAGAATCCATATTGAAATACAAAATGCTCCAAGTAGTCACAGCAATCTGAGTAAAAGGAACAATGCAGGACTCCTCCAATCCTTACTCTATGTTATGAAACCCTCCTAACAGAAATAATATGATTCTGGCAGAAAAGCAGCACACAAACCAGTGGAATAGACTGAGGAGGGCTAGAAATAAGCCCAAGCAGCTACATTCATCTGAGTCTTGACATTGGAAAAACACAGCCTCTTTAATAAGTGGTACAGAGGAAACTGGATATCAACACAGAATACTGAAATGGATTAACTAAAAAAATAAATCAAGGAGGAAACTAATATTTAAAATGTAAATGGCAGGGCTGGAGAGATGGCTCAGAGGTTAAGAGCACTAGCTGTTCTTCTTAAGGTCCTGAGTTCAATTCCCAGCAACCACATGGTGGCTCACAACCATCTATAATGAAATCTGGTGCCCTCTTCTGGTCTGCAGGCACACATACAGGCAGAATGTTGTATAATAAATCTTTTAAAAAGTTTGTGTGTTTACCTTAAAAAATAAAAAAAAAAAAAAACAATCTGATCAATAAATGAGTGGTAGAAATAAACTGACACTTCTCATATGAAAAAGTACAAATAATCAATAAAAAGATGAACCAACATGTTCAGACGTAACCATCAGGAAAATACAAATGAAAACTACAGTGAGATTCACCACACAGTGTCTACCATCAAAAAAGCAACAAATAATTCTGGAAACTGTATAGAGGAAAGGAACCCTTTTTCACTGCTGGTGAGGCTGTGTGTTTAGTGTAGCCACCATGGAAACCAGTATGGAACTTCTAAAAACAACTACCTTGTGACTCGGCTGTGCCACACCATGATATGGAATCTGTCTAGAAGTCAATCAACAGGTAAGGAAAATGCAGCATATATATTTTATATGTGTGTATACATACATACGTACATACTGGAATTTTACTCCAGTATAAAGAAAAAGGAAATTATGTTCTTTGCAGAAACTAAATGGAACAGAAAATTATCATGTTAATGAAAAAATCCACACCCACAAAAGCAAATAAAAGAAAAAGCATATTTTATCTCAGATGCTAAGTGTTTAGAAAAAGGAAAAAAAAATGACGTGAGATAGAGAGTATAGGGTAATTATGATAAAGAACATTACATGCCTGTATGAAAGTACCAGAATGAAACACCTTAATTTGTACAAGTAATACATACTTAAAGGTCCCCCAGAGGAAAACTCTCATATGTTCATAGAATTATAGACCAGAAAGGACATTAAGTGTCATCTTGTTCAAACAGACCATTTTAAGGTAACATTCAAAAATAGAAAAGTTGAGCCTTGCAAGTCTATGGTAAAACCCACTCCAGAGAATAACAACCTCCTCTTCTCTGCCAGTGCAATCCTTCAATTTCAAAACTGGTTCACTAGATCTGTGTGAGAAGAAAGTCCCATTCCTTTGTGTCTCTCAATGCCTCTTTATGATAAGCTAAAAAACACCAAAAGGATTCCTTATTTCTGTCCTTTAAAAAAAAAAAAAACAGGTTTTTTATATTCTTTGGAGCCTTGGAGTATGGCTCTTTCATGCTTGCAAAGTATTTGTGAGGTCCTGTTTTGAATCATCAGTATTGCACATAAAAATAAAGTTTTCATATATTGATACAATTTCCTTTTCAAGTATATGATTTGTAGGTACTCTCCCACATCATATAGGTTAAATTCCCCTTCCTTGTTGGTATTCTTTATAGCCTTCAAGTCTGAAGAAGCTTTGATGAGGTCCTGTTGATAAACTTTTGTTAGTGTTCGTTTCTTCGCTATGTGTATTTGTTAAGCATAACTTTTAAAGCATTTCCTAATTCAAAGTCACAAAGCTTTCCACCTTCATATTCTAATTCTTCTAAAATTTTTATTTTAGCTTTTGTGTTTAGCTTTTGTGTTTTAGCTTCTGTGTTAAGTTTTGTTTATGCCTGAAAAGGTCAGCTTCATTCTTTTGAGTGGAAATGTCTGTTGTTAACCCTTGTTTGTAACTGATATGTGTATTTGATATTTTTCATTTTAGGCCCCAGCACAGTGTCTACCAGGGCAGTGGCAGTGGGGGGTTCCCCAGGTAAATATCAACCTTTAGTGTCTAATTTCAAATCTTTCTTTTCACTGTATTTTTGTTAATCCCTGAAAACACCAGGGTGTGCTTGCGCTAATCCCAGCACTCAGGAGGCAGAGGCAGTGGATCTCTGTGAGTTTGAGGCCAGCCTGCCTCACAGATAGAGTCCAGGGCAGCCAGGGCTACACAGAGAAACCCTATCTCAAAAAAGAAAGGAAGGAAGGAAGGAAGGAAGGAAGGAAGGAAGGAAGGAAGGAAGGAAGGAAGGAAGGAAGGAAGGAAGGATCCCTGAAAACAAAAGTAAAGATAACTAAGTTTACAACCTTCCTCTTTTATTTATTAAATGCGAAATCGTTTTGTTTTTTGTTTTTCAAGACAAGGTTTCTCTGTGTAGCCTTGGCTGTTCTGGACTCTCTTTGTTAAGCAGGCTGGCCTTGAACTCAGAGATCCACCTGCCTCTGCCTCCCAGAGTGCTGAGATTAAAGGCATGGCCACCACGACCCGCCTAACTGTGATTTCTTTAATTCCTACATTTTCATTCCTTCATTTGTAAAATGGATGCGGTGATGTTATAACCTAAGTTTTTCGTTTATGATTTTTGGGAAGGTAAAATGAGATCATATTGGTGGAAAACATTTCATAAAGGCATGCTATATAAAAAAAACAAAAAAACGTTCAATTGTTTTTGCTGGCATTTTTCTAGCTTAACTTCAGATTTTGCTTTAGTTTGTCTCATGCTCCTAAATAAGAACCGCTTGGGTATCTACTATGTGAAATGATTAAAACCAAAAACTAGTTTAATATTTTGAAATCTGATGATACTTACTTAGCTATTATTGGTTGAACACCTTCTAATCCAAAATACTCTAAAATTTGAAATTTCAAAGCTGTTCAATGTGTATTCTGTTTTCCATTTTTTTTCCCTAAGAAATAGTACTCCACCAAAAAATTAATTAGTTAGTGGTATTTTCTTACACCTATGTGAAGTCACAAAGTTAAAAGTAGACATAATTTAAATATGATAGGGCTATTATTATAACTTTTAATGATGATATTAGTATATCTGCAATTATCTGTTTATTACGAGGTTTTAAGGCAAGATAAACATGAAGTACTTACCATTAATGATATCTATAATAATAATTATACCCTAAATAATATCTATGTAACTGACAACTTAGATCTCCTAGTCTGTTTCTAAGACAATTCTGTGCTATCCCTGAAAAATAATTTTAGGAATGATGCAACATATAATATTTTTCATTTTAGGGGAAGTCATTTTAGCATAACATACATAAATAATCATACTTCAATAACAAGGATCATTTTGTTTTAGTCCCCTGCATCTTCTGCTCCATTCTTGTATCTGCAACCTTCTGAGGTTATCTATCAACCAGTAGAAATTGCACAAGATGGTGGCTGTGTTCCTCCTCCACTGTCTCTGATGGAAGCTTCAGTTCCAGAGGTACAAGTTCATCTTTTTCTTTGTTTTGCATTTAGTCAGTGTTGGGAGTTGAACCCAGGGCCCCGTAGATTCTAAAAAACACACTGCAACTGAGCTGCATTCCCAGTCCTGTTTAGTGGTAAAGTGATTGTTCTATAACTGCCTCATATTAATTTTCAGTTCTTTTTTATTTGTTGAAGATTATCATTAAAATTGCTTTTTTATGTTTTCTGTTTTTTATTTGTATTTTATTTGTATTTTATTTTTATTTATTCTATGGGTGTTGCTTCATCTTAGAACTTTTCAGTAACTACTCCTGAATCACCTTCCAAGTTTTTTTGAAAGCTCTAAAGTATCAAATATTTGCACCTTCTTATTTTCCCATCAGTCTGTACTGTTGGTAAAAATTCACTTAAAAGCATATAATATTTAAACCAATGTAATATTTAAAATTCTTCCTACAATAATATATATTAAATTATTAGCTATTATCAATTATAGCTAATAATAAATTATCAATACTATCTTCAGTGTCTTTAAGTTATGTCTTGGTAGCATCATCCACATGCAGGAGCCGTGCTGATGTCATGGTGTGTTTTTCAGTCAGCAGCTTTTTAAGTGCATTGCTTTGTTATCTAGCATAAAGCTCAACACATAATTTATCCTGGAACAGGAATTTCCACAGTTGGATGCTTTTACTAGAATTTCTCAATTCTTTGTCTCATCCTTCATTTACTTTTTTGGTTTTCTCCAGATTTACTGAAATGTAATTGAGCATAAAAATTGGAGAGATTGGAGAGATTGGAGAATTGGATCAGTGATTAAGAGTACTGTTTGCTCTTCCAAAGGACCTGAGTTCAATTCCCAGAACACACATGGCAGACTCAAAATTGTCTATACTGCCAATTCCAAAGGATCTGACATCTTCACACTAATGCACATAAAATAAAAGTTTAAAAAATTGTGCTGTAAATGTTTATGAACTACATAATATTTTGTAACTATATATTCTAAAGTAGTTACCACAGTCAGTGTAATTCCTCTCTTCATGTGGTTATTTAGGGTTTTTGTTTGTTTGTAGTGAAAACATTTAAGATCTCAATAGTTTTCAAGTTTATAACTCATTATTATTTCCTATAGTCACCATGCTATACAGTGACTCCAGAAAACATCTATCCTTTCTGTACCTGTACCATTTGACCAGCATCTTCTCATCCTTCTCCCCACCTGTGAAAACCACTATTCTCATCTCTGTTTCTGCAAGTTTGATTTTTTTCAGATTCCACAAGAAGCATTTATCTTTGTTTACCTGGCTTATTTCACTGTATAATGTCCTCAAGATTTATCCATGATGTCACATCTGATAGAATTTCCTTGTTTTTTTAAGACTGAATGTTATTCTGTTGTTCATAGCCCACATTTTTCTTATCCATTGATAAACACTAAAGTTGGTTCCATGTCATTGTTATTGTGTAAGACAGGAACATAGTTTTGAGGGTTGTTTTTTTTTTTTTTTCTGGTGCTGAGAAACAAATCCAAGGCTTTGCATACCGTTGAGCATTTGTAAAATGTTAAGCTACATTTTCAGCTTCTTTGCTATTGTGAATAATGCTGCAGTGAGCTTAAGAGTTCAAGTATCTCTGTAACACATTCATTTCCTTTGTATGTGTGTATGTTAGTGTGAGTGTGTGTGTGTGTGTGTGTGTGTGTGTGTGTGTGTGCATGGTATGTATGTATGTATGTATGTCCAGAATCATAGATATGCTGAATCATATAGTAGTACTTTTTTAGAAACCTGCGTGTGTTTTGCATAATAGCTATTCTAATTTACATTCACTTCACAGTGTCAAAGGGTTCCCTTTTGTCCATATCCTTGCTGGTAACCATTTTAATTCCTAGTTTAATCTCTTTTTATCGTAGGTTCTCCATACAGAAATGTAACAGTTAATTCTTACTCTAACCTTCACCCTATTTCACCTCTGGCAGTGTTGTTCAGCTAGAAGCCTACAGAGTAGGCAAAAAAAGTAAGATAGACATAATTTTTCCTTAAGATGGTCCTCCCTTACATTTAAGCATTGTTAAATTAGATCTTTATTTTTACCTTGGCCTGAACATACAAATCTCAAAGGACTCTTTGGGTAGATCTTTCATTGCCATCTAGAGAAATCTTTATTCTTGCTGAATAAATAAAGGCCTTAGAATCCTCCCTTGTGTCCAGATTGTGCAGCATACGTACACAGTATACATGCTTTGTCATTTGAAAACCATCGATACTTTGTTATTAAGTGATGATGAAATTTCAGAAATTTGTCTTTTGATGTTTTCTTGCCTTCTGGTTTACATAGAGGTGGAAGTGAAGTAAGAATCTTTTACAATAGATATTTCACCAAAATCTGCTTTGGGCTTTAAACCATATTATTAATTCCTGATATCAGTTACTCATCACAAGTGTATATTCACTCCTTATTTAACCTATTAAGATTTTTTTCTAAAAATATTGCTCTGACTGTATAGTTTATACTTAATATGGCATTTCCATACTTAATGATACCTGTATTATCTTATTTTAGTGCTTTTTATTTTCAGGGTTAGTGGGGTTTTTATTACAATTAAAACCTTCAGGGCTTTTTGTTTGGATTGTTTCCTAAAAAGAAAACAAATATGTGAATATACTCAATCGCTTATTTCAGTGAACATTTCAAACTCCTTCCATGCCTTTACCACTCTCAGTCCATCCTATGATCTGTTTTCTCTCTTGTATTTTAAGTCAGTTTCTCTCCCTTGGTTCACCATTTGGCCACTTTACAGTGATTCTTGAGGGAATTATTTAATCCCCACAGTCTTGTCACTGACCTTACTTGTAAAGGTGAAGGTATCAAACCATATTGCAGTATTAAAAGATTAGGGCTGTTTAATACAACATTCTTTGAATATCTGTAGCACATTTGAGGGGTAATTACTCTTTTTACACATTACTTCACAGATCCTCTGATTCTCTTCTACCTTTCAAAACCAAGATTCTTGAAATGATAAGACTGTATTCAATATTTGAGATGTTCAGGACTGTGTCGTTCCACACCTGCCAAAGTGTTTCATTATCCTGTTGCCTAAGCTGCCTTTGACCTAATCCTAACCCTAAATGACATCATAACTACTAAATTATTTTCTTCCTTACTTAACCTTTCAGGAACAACGGACATAGTTCATATGTTTGATACCTGTGATTGCACAATACTGCCCTCTTCTGGCATTCCTATACTAGCTTTTATATCAGGTTTTGAAGACATGTAATTAATTAAAATGTTTACAAATTCAATTTAATAATTAGTATATTTTAGATAATATTTTGAATCCATTGTTTTAAATGTCCACCTATTTCATTGTTCGTCTGTTGATGGATAACCAGGCTGATTCCATTTCCTTTCTATTATGAGTAGACCAGCAATAAACATGGGTATGCAAGTATCTCTGTATAGCATGTAGAATCACTTGGATATATGTTCAGGATTGGTATAGTTAGTCTTATAGTTTTTCTTTTTTATTCTTTTTTTTTTTTTTTTTGGTTTTTCAAGACAAGGTTTCTCTATGTAGCTACAGCTGTCCTGGAACTCGTTCTGTAGACCAGGCTGGCCTTGAACTCACAGAGATCTGCCTGCCTCTGCCATCCAAGCACTGGTATTAAAGGCATGCATCACTACCGCCTAGCTTATTTTTAATTTTTGAGAACCTTTATACTGATTTCCATGGTGACAGTGCTTCATTACACTAGCACCAACAGTGTAGGTGGTCCCTCTTTCTCCATGTCCTTACCAGCATTTGTTATCATTTAAATATACTTGTAAATTATCTGCCGTCTGTTTATTGCTCTCCTGCCTAATTTCCCTCCTTTATCATTTAGTGTTCTTCCCAGCCTATCAAACAACTTAAGTAGGTCCCCTAAAAGAAGGTCTCTCTTCTTGCTTTACCTCTGATTTGATCACACAGTCCCTCACTGTGTTCCTGGTTCTTTAAAAAAAAAAAAATCAGTGCCACTAAGAAATTGTTCATGATTATCCTTGAACCGAGTAGTCTTTCTTCCTCATGCACTGTACACATGGCTCACAGGACATGTGGCAACTTAGAGTAATTCTGTTTCTTGATTAGACTATAAGGTCATTAAACATAGTGAATGAGTTTTTGTATGTGAGAGAAAACATGTCACATAGTAAGTGCTGAATAAGTATTTTAATAAATGTAAGTAAAACCTCTTTTTTTCTCTCCCCTTCTCTTGTTTCCTCACTGCCTCTTTTTTAACAGCCTTATTCTGACCATGGAGTTCAAGCAGCATATCACCAGGTTTATGCTTCAAGTGCCATTGCTATGCCTGCACCTATGATGCAACCTGAGCCAATTAAAGTAAGGAGTTCATTTTGAGTTTTTTCCTGTTTTCATTCCATTATTCTCTGGAAATTTTTTATCCCGTCTATGATCAAAAGTAAAGAATTAGTGAATTATCTTATATGGAGGAAATAAATTATAAATTAACTATAATTCCTATTAACTAATTTTGAAATGTTATAAGCCAGTCATGGTCAAAATGTTTTACTTATTGTCATATATATAGCAATATATAAACTTAAGTTTACCATTTTAACTATTTTAAGTGTCTTTAATTATATTCACAGTACTGTGAAAATTATTACCATCATTCCCAAACTTTTTCATCACCTCAACAGAAACTCTGTTCTCATTACACAATAAACCCTCTCTCCCTTTTGACCTCTCTGTTCAGTCCCTGGTGACCCTTAATCTATTTTCTGTATCTAATTTTACTGTTCTAGGTTTGGCACATAGGATTATCTATGTCAATAATACATAGTTTTTGTAGGGAGGTGAAACAGCTAATCATCTCTACTTTATGTTTAAGGATATAGTTGTGTTCATTAAATCAGATTCTGCCCAAAGAATAGATTTCACCCAATCACATCTAATCTAATTAGTTCCATGTGTATATTCTCTATATTTTGGTCATCTGCTGTGCACAGGAAGTTCTCTTTCTTTATTACTGGGATTCTTAGTGAGGTTCAGGATCATCATGTTAGAAAAATGGACTTCATCCTAGTAAAGAATTGCAGATTAACTTTTGCTGGTACTATGAATTTTTGTCCATTTTAGTTTAGTGGAATATGGAAGTATACTCTGCAGTGAAATGATAGAAAGGAGCTATTTTACACTCATAAGTATGATCCATCATATGTGTTGACATCTATTCCCTCATGCCCCACCATAACAACTCACTGCTGTGACTACTCACTGTGTCCCTTCATCATTGTACTGTGGATATGAAAGAAGACCCCAATTTTGGTTTCACATTAAAATCTAGAATGTTAATAAATCTCATTTATAGAGGCTTTATTTTCAGTATTGTTAGAAAAATCTTCTACAACAGACTTCCCCTAATGTTAACATCATCAATTGCTAGTATATGTGTACATGATGGATTGGATATATATGTGGGTGAGGGAGTGATAGGTAGGGCAGATTAAAATAATTGAAATTATCGCTTAAGTAATAATGCAAATAGGAGAAATAGTGGTAAATGGTACTAAGAATGTTCATTAACGTTTGATTTTCTACTTGAAGAGTATGCACATTTCTAAGTTGTCTTAGATCTCTAGGTAACATCAGAAATTGTATGTAGAAACTCACCTTGTACTTAGATTTAGTGATATAGGACATACTCTTTTGTTGAACATAGAAAAAAATTAATAAATTTTCAAAGTCAAAACTGGAATGCAGGACTATTATATAAGAAGTTTTATACTTCTTTTTATGTTTCAATAAAAGGTAGAGTTTCCTATGTGTTTTATACCCAAAATGTGTTGGTGGTGCCAGACATTGATCCCAGAATCTCAGACATCTCAGCAAGTACTCTATCACCAAGGCACGTGCCCTATGCATAGATAACTAATTGTTCTTTAGTAATTCAGTGGCTCTCAGTAGAAAACTGTGTCTGTCTCGGGCACAAAAACTCCAGTACCACTTCCATAGTTATGGAGAGTTTCACAACAATGCTTTATTATACAAGGTTTATTGCAGATAATATTATCTACTTCTGTTTGTACTGTATTTGTATTATAAACACGGAAATCTTAATATGCAAATGTTACATTATTAGAGATATATATTTCTAAGTTTATTAAACCAACTTTAAAATATTAATGGGCACTTGAAATACCAGCTATTTTCTTTCGATGTAAATTTTCCTTGGCACTAAAAACCATAGTGTTATTTTTAGAGTTCAAATCTTTTGGTTCATTCATTTTTTTTGTAAGCATAGTTCACTTCTAAAACTGATGGGAAGACTGATTTTCTAGTTTCATTTATTGCTACAATAAAATACCCTGAACAAATAGCAAGTTAGGGGAAAAAGGGTTCATTTAACATACACAATTTCAAGTTATAGTCCATCATTTTAAGAAAGACAAAGGAAGTTACATGACACCCACAGTCAAGAGCAGAAAGATAGTAAACATGTCCTTCATTACTTGTTTCTTTGTACTCAGATAGCTTTCTTAGATCTTTTAAAGGATAAGCCCTTAAATGTGTCACCCACAATAGGTTGGGTCTTCCAAAAACAAACAGCCAAAGCAATCCCTCACAGACATACCCAAAGCCAACCTGATCTAGATACTTCCTCATTAAGACTCTTATTTCCGAGTGATTCTAGGTACTATCAAGTTGGCATTTAAAACAAACCAGCACAATTGGTCAGTGGATGGATACTGGGCTACTGTTACTTCTGTTGCTGTTTATTTCTGTTGCTATCGTTAGGATAAAATACCCTGACAAAAAGAAAATTTGAAGAAAATTGGTTTATTGGGCCTACAGTTCCAGATTACAGCCCATCATTTCAGGAAAGTCAATTCAGGAACTCAAGCAGCTTATCACATCACATCCACAGTTAGGAACAAAGAAAAAACAAATGCATCCTTGCATGCTGTTTACTTGAAGTCCCTGCCCAGGGAAAAGCACTGCCCACAGTAGGCTGGGTAAGTTAACAAGACAGTTCCCCACAAACATATCTGAATGCCAACCTTATTAAGACAATCACTGATTGAGAATCCCTTCTTAAGTTATTTTGGGATATTTCAGGTTGACATGTAAAACCATCACAGGTACTAAGTCATACTTAGTAGTAAAAGGTCTGATTGCACAATTAGTTAACTATGGATCAAAGTAACTTACTGTATTTTTGTGTGCTAAAAGAAAAACTGTTTTTCACAATTTATTTTATATATCCCAATTGAAGCCCCCTTCCTCAACTCCTCTCAGTTCCACCCTCCTCCGCCTATCCCCTTCCCCTAGTTCACTGAAAGGGGGAGTTCTCCTCCTCTGCCATCTGCCGATAGTTAATCAAGTCTCATCAGGACTGTCTGGATCCTCTTCCTCTGTGGCCTGGCAAGACCACATGACCAGGGACAAGTGATCAAAGAGCAGGCAGTCGGGTTCATGACAGAGGCAGCCCCTGCTCCCCTGATTCGGGAAGCCACATGGAGACTGATCTGCCAATTGACTACATCTGAGAAGGGAGTCTAGGTCCTCTCTGTGCATGGTCCTTAGTTGATGTATCAGTCTCTGCAGGACCCCCTGGGCTCAGATTTTTTAGCTTTGTTGGTCTCCTTGTAGGGCTCCTGTCCCCTCCATGTCCTTCTGTTCCCCTCCCCTCTTCTTCCATAACTCCCTGTGCTCTACCCACTATTTGGCTGAGTCTCAGCATCTGCTTCGATCCCCTGTCGGGCCTTTCAGAGGACCCTCTTTAGTAGGCTCCCATCCTGTTTCCTCTCTTCCACCACTTCTGGTGTCTATCCTGTTTGCCATTCTGAATGAATTTAAGCATCCTCCCTAGGGTCCTCCTCAGTGTTTAGCTTCTTTAGGTCTGTAAATTTTAGTATGGCTATCCTATATTATACAGCTAATATCCACTTATAAGTGAGTATATACCATGTGTGTCTTTCTGGTTTTGGGATACCTCACTCAGGATGATCTTTTCTAGTTCCATCCATTTGCCTGCAGATTTCATGATTTCCTTGGTTTTAATAACTGAGTAGTATTCCATTGTGTAAATATGCCACAATTTCTGTATCCATTCTTCAGTTGAGGGACATCAAGGTTGTTTCCAGATTCCAGCTATTATAAATGAAGCTGCTATGAACATAGTTGAGCAAATGTCCTTATTGAATGGTGGCGTATCTTTTGGGTATATGCCCAGGAGTGGTATAGCTGGATCTTGAGGTAGCGCTATTCCCAATTTTCTGAGAAAACACCAGATTGATTGCCAAAGTGGTTGTAAAAGTTTGCACTACAACCAGAAGTGGAGGAGGGTTCCCCTTTCTCCACATCCTCCAGCATGTGTTGGCACTTGAATTTTTTATCTTAGCCATTATGATCGGTGTAAGATAGAGTCTCAGAGTTGTTTTGATTTGCATGTCCCAGATGACTAAGGATGTTGAGCACTTCATTAAGTGTTTCTCTGTCATTAGATTTTCTCTGTTTAGCTCTGTACCCCATTTTAAAGAAATAATAATAAAAGAAAAATATTAAAAAATTAAAAAGAAAAAGAAACTGAAAATTCCCTTAGGAAAAAATGTTTATTTTAATCAGAATAAAAAAAAATATTAAAAACTAAAAAAAAAGAGAGAAAGAAAAATTTTGGATGCTTTTACCATTAAAGAAGAAAATATGAGCTAGAGAAATAGATTGGGGTGTTGAGAGCATATATTGCCCTTGCAGAGGATCCAATTTGGGTTTTCAGTACCCACATTGGGTGGCTAACTCTTTGGAAAGACAGAATAATTCAGAAGCAAATTGGAATGGAATTTGAACTGACAAAATGTTTCCTTCTATCTTGAAATAGTCACACAGCTAAAAATTGCCAATTGTCTCTTCAGAAACATTCTACTACCACTATGTTCTTTAACACTTTTATCTCAGTACCATTATTACTTCTTATTAATCAGTTTAGAGGCTAAAGTTGGCTTATATCCAGCTAGTCCTAAGCATAGAGGAAGACAAAGACTGGGGGAAACCTGTGATTTATAGCATCTAGGACAAGAGAGTATAAAACTGTATGTGCTCTCCATAAATTGAACAATTCTGTAGCATATTTTTACTCATAGAACTCTACATAATAACCATGTTGTTAAACACTAGAAATATATATGTTCTGTATGCATCAGACTTTCTTATTATTATTTAATTATTTTTATTTTTTATTAATTACAGTTTTTTCACTTTGTTTCCCCCCTGTACCTCCCTCCCTTTTTCCCTCCCAACCCCACCCTCCCCTTCCCCACCTGTGTTCCTCTCCCAGTTCACTGATAAGGGAGGTCCTTCTCCCCTTCCCTCTGATTGAT